GCATGTGCTGCGGGGCGGGGCGCCTGGCCACACCTGCGCGGGCCACACCCAGGCGTCCTGGGGGCAACCTGCGCTTCCGAGAGCAACGCGCACCTGCACACGGGAAGACGCTGGGGGCTTCCACGCTGCAGGGAGTGGATCTCCCCTGAGCGCCTAAAGCCAGCTTGTTCTCGACAAAGTCAGCACCGCTCAGGGCAGAAGCCCATGCTCCTTTCCAGGGGTGCTACCGCGCTCTCCGGTGGAGGTTCTGTCTGCTCCAGCACCCCCCAAGGAATCGCTGCCCAGTGGGCGGCTGTGACCAAGAGCAAAGATCTCGGTCTCGGGGGACACGGGCCTGAGGCCCACCCCAAAGAGGCGCCGACGAGCCTGAGGCCACGCGACATGGGGCTTCTCCCAGACACACAGCTCACACTGGGTTGGGCTGAGGACGCCAGGCACTGACGTCCTTTCACACACGTGGCTGAGACGCGGGTGCTCCCCAGGGCTCCCCATGCTTCCTCTGTGCTGGGTGCTGCACAGAGCAGACTTCGGCTTCCTGACAGGGAGGTCGACAGCTCAGGCCGCTTTTCCAGTTGAGTCTGCCCAGCACACTCGGCCCGGCCCAGAGCCCCTCGGGCCTCCCCCGGAGCCCACAGCCCACTGCCGTCTCAGAGAAAGCTGTAGGGAGGCGGCTGCTGGATTCCGGGACCGTCCGGCCCAGCCCGGCCCGAGTCAGGTCACAGAGATGGTCGCACCCTCCCAGATGCACATGGCCTTGAGGGTGTGCGCCGGTCCACAGCGGACGGCCCTGGGAGAGGGGCTCCCATACCATGCGGACTGGGAACGATGGTGGCTGCAGACGCCGCGGGCGCCCCTGAAAGCACATCTGAGCAGCAGTCACCCGCTCCCTCTGAAAGCCCTGGTCTAAGGGACGCCACCTTGGGAGCACACGGGGCTGCTCCCTTAAGCACGTGGGTTATTCCGATTGGGTGGCGCCCTCTTTACCCCTAACAGGAATGCCTGATCCAAGCACGCCACTCTGTCATGTCTGTGCCTGGAAACCGCTCTCTGGGAATGAGCAGGGATCTTTGAAGAGGCAGAAGCCGGCGCAGGAAGGCTCGAAGGAGGTGAGAACACAGCTGTGTGTCTCAGTCCCGGCCCTCTCTGAGCGACAGACACCCTCCACTGTGTCCATGTTTCCGTGCAGACATTTCGGCGTGTGTCCACCTCAGTCTCCTGAGGGCGTTAGCCACTGAGTACCCTGGAGAAAGCCCCTTTTCAAAGGCTGCACCAAGGCTGTCAGTGTAGGAGGCCCAATGAGAAGTGTCTGGGAAGGTTCCCAGGCAGGTGATTGTACAGCTGGTGAGGTCTGGCTACAGATATGTCTGCACACAGACGACACAGCAACCTGCGCGCACCAGAAGTGTGCTTCTGGAACAGTATGGAGCGACCATAAAGAATGCCCGGGAAATTCATGACCAGAAGAGAACAAGTTCCAGTGTCTGGCGGCAGAGAAGTGGCGACATAAGCAGCTATTATAATGACCGCCAGTGAAAGAGAAAGCGCCGTGGAGAAATGGTTTTGCACTGAACGGGGCTGAGGCCCTGGGTCCGCACAGTGCTCAGAGTGGTGCCAGCTCAGACGCCAGACAGGGCTGGGGAAGCGGCCAGATGCCCCCGCCCCGCCCCCAGCTCCCTGAAGGGGAGGGCGGCTCCCGTGAGTGAGTGTGCACCGGAGATGCTATCTGAGGCACTCGCTGGCAGGCCTTCAAGGGAATTCCTCCCCAGGGCCTGGCTTCCAGACGGCGTGCTCAGGACGAGGGCTCTCACACCCTCCGAGCGCCTGTTCTCTCCCGCTGCACTCCGCGGACCCCACGCTGAGCTGTTTTTAATTCATATGTGTTTGGACAGGACTGGTGGCGAGAAAGCTACTTTTTAAACAGAGGGAGCACTGTAAGACTCTGATGATGCAGATGTCTACACGAGAGTTTTAATATTAGTGGGCAAGTTGTATGAACCTATGTAAGGCAGCAGAGAAATACTCCATTGACTTCAGTGCTCATGAATGAAGATACTACTCCACGATCAGGGGGAGGAAAAAAGGAAAGAAAAGAGCAGAGCCGCGGAGAAAAATCACAGGAATGAAGAGATGGACATAACAATGCATTAAGAGAGGCACATCACGCATTACTTCAACTGCCCAAACACACACACAGAGGCAGAGAACCTCAACCTCAGTGGACAATGACGAAAACTGACCTACAGTCACCAGCACAAAAGTAGCCTTTGCATTCTTAAGGTCAGTATTCTCTTTACCTGACCAAGAAATGCTGTCTCTGAAAAGGACCAAATTTACTCTGCCGCAGGGAAATGGAGCCAGGAAACAAGAAACAGTGACCCCGAGGAGAAAGCGTGCAGGGGCAGCAGGCAGCGACAGGGAGAGACGGCCCTGAGGCCGGGGGGCTGGCTGGCCACAGGCAGCGGCCTCCCCCCCTTCCGGACTGGCCCCTGTGCCCACAGCCTGTCCATGGGGTGCCTCCCTGTCGTCTGCGCTGCAGCCAGGCCCTCCCGGCCACGGCTGACACCAGCCGGCAGCGAGGGCCAGCACAGGACGCCCGCCCTGCTTTGCGCCTCTGCACTAGCGCCCTGGGCTTCCCTGTCCCCGAGGCCCCTCCCTGAACCCCTGGCCCAGACAACGGCCAGCGCTTCTCCCCTCCCTTCCCACAATCCCGACACAGATTTCGTCCTACTTGCACCTGTCCACAGATGGTTCCCTCCAGCCTGCCTCTCTGGGCCAGCACCGTGCAGGTCCCGCCCCTGCAGGCGCGCGGGAGTCGGTGCCCAGTGCACACCCAGGTGAAGCGCTGCCCTAGTGCATGCTCCAGTGAGCTCCTCCCCTGGCTTTCAGGTCAGTGCACTCTGCTACCCTCTCATGCTGGCTGGGCTGCGAGCAGCTCTGAGTCACCTGTGCCATCCTTACTTGCTCGGTGGCTGTCATAGAAGCTCTCTATGACATTTCACACGACGCGTAAATGACAAGCAATCAATCCCTTTTTTGAGTTTGATCCTCAGTCAAGACATATTTGAAAAAGCATCATCATCGTCTATTTAAATTTGCCAAAGCAAAAGATCCCAAACCATGAAGTTTAGAACTACCAGAGACCGTAAAGAACAAAATTAATCTGGAGAAAAAAGAACAGAAACAAAATTATTGTTCTCCCCAACTTCATAGCACACAATGACACAGGAGTAATTAAAACAAGCATGCTGCTGGGCCCCCCGGGGGTGCAATGGGCTGAAGCACCTCACTATGAAGGTGCTCACAGCCCCTGCGCACGAGTTCGATCCCCGGCCAGGGAGTGACCCACAGGGCACAGCAGACCTCTCCTGTCACCCCGCTGCTCCCCTCAACAGTGTGCCTTTCTGCCTATTTTACTCCCCACTCTGTCCCTGGTGACCCCTTTCTGGCTTGTACCCCAGTTCTTGTATACATAAATAAATAAATCTTGAAAAAGTAAAACAGCATGATACTAGGATAAGAACAGACAGATCAGTGAACAGACCAGGGAGTCCAGAAATAAAACTACACACATGTGGATAATGAGTTTATGACTCAGGGGCCACAGCTGACAATGGAGCACGGAAAGTCTGTTTGTGATGCTGAGAAAACTGCACAGTCACGTGCAGAAGGAAACTCCATCTCCAGGCACAAACATTAACTCAAAAAGGATTAAAGATTGGGATGTTGGGCCCTCCCTGGTGGCGCAGCGGGTTAAAGTGCAGCACTGAGAATCTAAAGCCACTTCCGCATGAGTTCGATTCCCGCCTGCCCCGGAGGTGACCACATGGCGCGGCAGACCTCTCCTGACCCGCCCCTGCTCCCCTCAGCAGTGTACTTCGTCGATCTGCCTGTTCTGCTCCCCACTCTGTCTCTGGTGAAGCCTCTCACCACCCCTGAGCCTCTGGCCTGTACCCCAGTTCTGTATGCACAAATAAATAAATCTTTAAAAAAAAAAAAAAGACTGGGATGTTGTAACTGAAATCGTAACAGCTACTGGAGAAACCACAGTGGGTGCTGTGACACCAGCCCTAAGAGATGCGCTGGGCGCTGGACTCCAGCAGCGAGAACAAGAGCGAGAGAAGCAGATGCAGCCACAGCAGACTACGGAGCTGTTGCACAGGGAAGGAGCCATCGAACAAGAAACACTGCCGCACGGAGGACCACACCGCGACACCACAGACCCGCAAAGGCCTTGCGTCCGAAGCAGACAACGAACGCACAAAACCCAACAACAAAACCACCCAGCTCAAAACAGGCAGAGGATCTGAACAGAGGCTTCTCGGCAAATGTGCAGATGGCTCCAGGCACCACAAGATCGTGTGCTCTCCTCAGGGAAGCAAGTCCACACCACAGCGTGTGCCCACCTCACACCTGTGAGGATGGCTGTTCTCCAAACGGCAAGAAGCGCTGAGCGGGAGGATGCGGGGAGGAGGGAGCCCCTCACGCCGGGGGTGGGGACGCCCATGGACGCAGCCACTGAGGAGCTCCCCAGGAGACCGAAGACGGAAATCTCACGCAATGCAGTTACTCTACTGCGGTTATTTACCTGCACACGGGATCACCACCGGGCAATGTCTGCACCCCCGTTTCACTGCGGCGTTTAACAGCCAAGAGCTGGGCTCAACCTAAGTGCCTGTCGCACGCAACTGAATCAAAACGACACGCGCGTTTGTGCGGCGGGCGGCTGCCAGCCGGGACGGAGGCCCTGCCCTCACAGCGGGGCGCGGGAGGTGGGCACCAGAGGGGTTCACTCACCTGTGTCATGGCAACGAGTGAACCGAACAAAGCAATGGGAAACGTTTTGTAGACGACGTTCCCAGAAGCGATGTTACCAGAAGGGTAGAGGACTGACCTGCACGTTTGGTGGGGGCCAGCACGGTGCTCACGTACGGTGACGCCCCCACGCACCCCACAGTGTTGCCTTCCCATTCACATCAAACGTGCCGAGTTTCGTCACTTACTGAACACGTCGCCTCTGGGCTTCTGAGGGTCGGTCTGTATCCTGTTGTCCACCGTCACCACTCTGGGGGGCGTGGAGGTGGCCGGTGCAGCGGTTGTCAGCCTGGTGGTTGGTCTTTCCGGGGTTGTTGGTGGGGGAGCCCTGGGCTCCGTGGGCGGGGGCGGGGGCGGCGGTGGAGTCCACCGTGGGGTCGGCCGTGGCGTCGGTCGCCTCGTCGGCTGAGTCGTGGGGGTGTTGGTGGTGGCAGGAGGGATGTAGGGTGTCCTCAGAGGCCACTGGGTACTTCCAGCATCAGGGATGGAATTACTGTGGCCCCCACCCCCCTTTGTAGGGGTGCCATTTCCCTGTGGCACTGGGCCTGAGGGCTCGACCATGACTTTCGGGATAGCTGAAAGAGTCAAAAAATCTCCATCAGGGCACAACCATCCCTACAACGTCAAACATCCAGTGGGAACAACACACGCAGCAAACGCGCTCCTGTGGCCTGGGGAACACCCCCCACCCTTTAGAATGTGCCTGATGAGACCATGTGCCCCCCAGGCGGCAGCACGAGGGTCTGGGGTCCACACATGTGTGCACCCACACATCTTCCACCTCTCCGTGAGTGCAAACTTACACTGGTGCTCTGTGGCGAATGGCCATTATTTGAAACCCACAAGTTAAGTCTTGGTAAAGTGGAAACAACTATCCATGAGGGTTTTAGTACAGAAAGACATTCGAATTTTTCAAAATAGGACAAATGTCCACTAGAGCTGACATTAATTCGGTACATGACAAAACATTTTGATGAACACACTGTGTTTTACACACTGTGCTATGGCTGAGCACCCCTTGCTAATTAGACAACTGCTTTTTAAGAAGAAAATGTCAGAAATCACCCAGATCATCCATGGAATCCTTGCCCTTGATTATCTTCCCCAAGAGGAATTAATATTTAATCTGCCTGGAATGATACACTGGAGACCGGGAGAATGTCTGCAAATCCTTTCATCCCCCTGATTTTATGCCCCACGATTTTCAGTAAATATTTTGCTCCAGAAATTTAAAATGTTAACTTGCTAAATGCGATGTATGCTTAATTGTGGTCTCTGGCTTGTGCTGCTTTTGTCGTCCACGGTCTCTCGCTTGTTTTTCTATGAACCAGAGCCACTGCTCCATGCACCACAGATACTTAAAAAGCAAAACTGCTCTCCATGAAAACAAAACCAAAGAGACGGATGGCTCTGAACAGCGTCGTGGGCACAGAACAGCCGCATAAAGAACGCAGCATATATTCGCCGCCCTCAGCCACCACCACACCAGCACCAGCGTGCGTTTCTGCTTCTGACCAAGGGACACTGTCTGCAAGGTGCTGCCCCTTCCGGCAGCAGAGGGGGAGCTCCTGAGGTGGAAGCGGTGAGGGACATGAAGGCGCTCGAGGGGGACCCGCGTGAGCCCCTCCACAACGTCTACCCCCAGCAAGTGGCTGTGCTGTGTAGAAAGCGCAGGGCCGGGAGCGAGGGCGCGGCCCCCGCGCTCCGGGGCGAGCATCCGGCCCATCTCTCTCAGTAACCGGAGGGCCCCGCCCGCCCGCCGCGCCAAGTACTCACGCGCACAGCTCCAGCCGTCGCCCTCGTAGCCCTCCTGGCACTGGCACCGGTAGGAGCCGAGCGCGTTGTGGCAGCTGGCGAAGCTGCTGCAGCGGTGCTGGCCCAGGGCACACTCGTCGACATCTGCAGGGGAGTGGGGAGCGGACTGTGGGCGGACGCAGGCTTTGGAAACCACATTTTCACCGAGAAGGTCTTCTGGCAACCATGTCTCGTGCAAGAACGACGGGCCACCAGCCACTGACTGGCTTGTTCAATCAAATGCCAATGGCAGCCCCCACCCCCACCCCGGGTGGGTGCTCCTTACCATGACACTGGTATCTGCCGCCAATGTACATGAGGTCGAAACCTTCGTGGCACTTGCAAATGTAGCTCCCGAAGGTGTTGAGGCACTGCCTGTGCCCGGGGCAGGACGCCCTTCCACTGGCACACTCGTCCACATCTGCACACAGATAGCGGCAGAGGCTCAGGAGTGCAGGTCCTGAGAGGACCCTGTGCAGGCCTCACGTCCAGCCAGGCCCGCCGGCAGCGGCCACCACCTCTCCCTCGCCTCCACCACGCCTACCTCAGCACCGCCCATCCTCACTGCGACTTGAAGCAAAACATGTAGAGGAAATCATAGGACCACCGACTAACTGATGTCCACCAGCAGCAGGTCTCGGGTCACATCACCACCACCTAGCTTCTAATACACTCACCTGTACCCACTCACCTCACCCCCACTGATTTCAGTCAGGGCCCCCCGTGTCGGAGCACAGGTCCCAGCAAAACTGGGAGTCAACGCCCTGGTGGGGTTGTCCCGCGTCTGGGGGACCCTCTCTCCCCCCACACCCCACGTGTCCCACTCTGCCGTTTCCACTGGTGCCCCCACCCGTGACTCACCCAGGCAGGTCCTCCCATCAGGGGCCAGCTGCAGTCCAGGGGAGGGGCACTGGCAGCGCACCTGGCCCTTGGTGACCTCGCAGCCGTACTGGCAGTTGGCCGTGGAGCAGGTCAGCGCGCCTGGAGGACAGCGTGAGTGTCAGAGACGCCACGCCGCGGCACCTACCGCCAAGGCAGCAGCGGAGACCCCTCTCGCTGGGAAAATCAACCGGGGGGGCGGGGAAGGGACGAGAAAACACCCCCAAGAGGAAACGAAGCAGCTCTGCTGTCACGGGGTCAATGACGAATGCCAAGACACACCTAAGCCCTAATCGCTCACGGGTTACTAGACATTTTCAGAGGACTTAGGGAAATCGAGCACCGAGGGGATTTCCCAGCTTCCGCAAGCACGTGCCGAGCTCCATAAGCAGCAGAGTGACTGCTTCACCTGCTCCAGGGCCAGCAGATCTCCCGGAGCTGCCGTGCCGGAACATTCTAGCGTCACTCTCCTCTCTGCAAGCATGAATTCACCTCATTTCAGAAAGTTCCCTGCGAACATGCAATGCCAACTGAAGCAAGCTGACCTTTGTATCAAATGCAATCCAGTCAGCGGTAACCGACCACCAGCCGCAGACGCTCTCGGCAGCAACACTGCCATCAGCTGCCAGACAGCACACGGGCGTCAGGTCCACCCCTCAGCACACACAGAGGAGCGGAGCGGACCCACGCTCGTGTCTCAGAGACACACCTCAGAACTACTGCTGTGTTTTCTCATGGGCAGGATATGTTTTAGGAGGAGGAGGCCAAACGCTGCATGTAGAGTAACTGTGAGTATTTGTGAAGGGCTTGTACTCAGTCAGCGGGGTGACGGGTTCTGGACCATCACCCAGGTCTCCGTCCATCCTCATGGACAGCAAATGGCCACTCACATTCTCCTCCACCCAGACCACTTCTATGTCCAGACAGGAGACACAGAAAACATCAGAAAACACCAAGTTTTGTGAATCTCACTCTAACTACTATTTCCGAGTCAGCTTCACACTGGCGCTGGGGGCAGAGAGCGGCCCCCGCCGCAGCTCTGGGCTTCTGCTGGGGCAGGGGCTCACGCAGGAAGGAGCTGGCATGGGCGAGGGGAAAGGAGGGCGCACCCGCCCCAGGGCACCCGTCCATCCCGGGGGCATGCCCCTGCCCCCCGGCCGCCACCTACTTGAGCAGGAGCCGTCAGGCATGAGCATGTGGCCGCTGAGACAGTAGCACTTGTAGCTGCCGTGGGTGTTCATGCACCGGTGCTTGCAGGGCCGCGGCTTCAGGCCACACTCGTTGAGATCTGCGCGGGGCGAGGGGAGAGCAGTGACCCACCGCAGCCCTGGCAGACGCCACCTCAGGGCATCTGTGGGTGCGGGAGAAGCGTCAGCAGCGGCCACACTCGCCCTCTCTAGCTTCCCCGGGGGACAGGCCCGAGTATCTGCCTGCAGCATCTCCACAACACCAGCCCGCCGCAGCCGCGCACGGCAGTGAGCGCACTCTGGCTCCCGGCCTGTGTGAGCCGGTGTTAGCTGGCAGGCGGCACCCACTTCCAGGGCTGGGCCTTTCCCAAAGGCAAGCCGCAGCTTCAGAGGCTTGCGCCCTCCGAGGGGCGGTCCCCATGCGGCTCCTGCCGGCTGGCAGGCTCTGCACGCAGCTCAGCTCAGGAGAGAGAAGGTCGCCTACTTTCCTGATGCATCCCAGCCCCCAAACAGATTTGTAGGGACTAACACAGATGTATTAACCTGGCTGGTAAAGCAAGTGGAACTCCAGGTGGACTAGAGTGTAGATTTGATGCCGACTGGTTTAAACGTCATTATGAAAGGAATAAACTGCGCAGCCACAATCTTCCTAACTCAAGCGGAACCCTGCCTGCAGGACAATAAAACTCAGTGACAAACACCGAGCGGCTTGTGACCACAGTGCAGACGTCATCAGAGACACGTGAGCACGCGTTTACTGTAGCTGCCAGCGTCAGCACCTGATCACCGCAGTGAATTAGCACTAGACTAACCCATGGAATACAGTCAAGATGTATCTGGTTAGAAGTTGTTGGCAAGTTTAAACCTGATCTGCTCATTCATGAGAAACCTACACATTTCACTTGATAGTCACGTGACATGACTTGTCACGTGCAATGCAATATGCATTGTATCCAGATATTTTTCTCATTCTATTGACTTGGCGTTATCTTTTTTCTAACCTTCACCCTTCTGCAAGCAGGCCCCAGCCAGGCGATAGACACCTTCACTGTCCTCAACCTTCAACTTTCTACTTTTATTTTCTCTTGCCCAGTCACGGGGATTTGGAACATTTTAAATCATTTTAACTTTAACTATTCCAAAAATTTTCCTTAAAGAAGACAGTGTTCAGATGATAATAGCAGCAAAACTTAGGCTCCTCTCCAGCTAATGAAGTCAAAAATTTCAATCAAGGAGGACAGAGAAATAAGTTCCCTCCACTTCTAGTCTTCTACCTTGTATTTCAACAGTTAGTAAAGTGGAGTCTGGCTATCTTTTCTCCTGCGTTAAAGAGAATTCTCATACCGAGAAGCTCCCTGCATGTCCACACTGGAGTTGCTAAATTCCCGCTGACATTGCACTAAGTAACACTTAACTCTGATCCCAGTTGCGTGCCAATAGCAAAGCCTTTCTGCTGGGTAAGGAAGAGCGGAACACAGCAAGACCTCTGTGTCTCCAGGGGAGGTGACTGAATGGCATGCAGTGTGTTGAGAAGAACGCTCAGGTGTGAAGAACCACAGGAACAGCTGGGTTTTCTGCAGGGGTGGGCAGGCCGCATGCACAGGAGTGCGAGGCAGGTGGGACTTGTGCCACCCTCTGCACCTGCTGCAGGGTCCTGGACAGGCAGCTCTGCCGTGGCCAATAAAGGTGGACCGCCGTGGCCCAGGCGTAGGCCCCTGGAGTCTGCAGCAAACCTATCCTTTTATTCCCGTGAGAAGCAGCAATTTGGGGTCAAGAATTATGAAATGGACCAGAAATGAAAATTCAGTAAGAAGTCGTAATTAAAAAAGTGGGAATCAGTATAGCAAAGTGAGAATCACTATATGAAAAATGGGAGCGGGGGGGGGGGGACCCACACAGCATTTAATGGGTTAATGTTCAGATACTTGCTGGTGATTTTACTGTAATGAAGCTGACAAACAAGTATTCAGACACATGGAAGGTCGTGTGAGAAAGGGGTGCCTACCATCTTCGATGGTGGGGAGACCTTTCCCGACAGCTGCCCTGGACGCCTGGACCTCCAGCCACACAGCCATAGACAGGCCTCTCCCGCCAGCTCAGCAGCTCAGTAAAACCACCACAGCAGTAATAAAAGGAGATTCTGCAACCATCCTAAGTTTTTCTTCAGATTTGCACTCTGTGATTATTATGTCTTAGTCCCCTTGGATCTAATGCCTTATAAAAACGTGCTGCTTCCAACATCTCTTGGATAATGTGACCACCATAAGCAATGCTTATGTTACTACCCAGGTCCGAAAAGTGAGAAAGACACATCCCATGTACAGTGTGCATTTGTAGAATAAGGAGAGTAGACATGAAAACTCTTCCTCATTGCACTTTCTTCCCTCAGTCATAGTAGTTCATAAGACCAGAACCTACTAAAAATATGGAAAACTGTTTTCATCCTAGTCTTCCTCAGTTTACAGTATACTACCATGATTCAGAATGTGTACTGGGCAGTTGACGAGTCCTGCCTGTACCTCTGCGGTCCATCCAGGGGCAGCCCTTCCCGATTCAACACCACATCCACGTGCTGTGAGCATCACGTGTGCAGCTCGTAGAGAACGCGGGTGGGCTGCTGTGAGGCGGCTGGATATTCACAGGCCGGGAGGCTCGCGGGTGAGGGAGGGACGGAGGGAGAGGAATTACTCCAGGTCAAAGATGCAAGCTGCACAGCTCTGCAGTTATTTCAGGCAAAGAACCAGGACTCAGTAACATGCAGACACTGAGCGCAGATGAGCAACGGGGAGAGATGCGTCGACTAAGCAGCCCATCAGGCTTCCAAGGAAAACTGTTCACTCATCCTGCGCGCCTAGACTTTTTCCTTTGAGGCTGACACTGTGCAAAGCCTCAGACATCTAAGGTTCCGCATTTTATGTCACAAAAGTGGAGGTCACGCCGTTCTACTCTGAGACCGTCAAGGGCTCTGAGAGAAGCTGGCCAGTTTCTGTGCAGAAAACGCCGCTGCATCAAAGCTCCGGCCCGGCTGAGATGGGGACGCCTACTAATTTCGGCCACCTTAAACCAGTCCTTCCCAAGTCCCAGAGCCCGCAAGGTGAGGGCTGAAGTCTCAGAAAGGGAACTGGGGACCACAGAGCCACCGTGCTTTTCTATAGCTCTCCTGCACCTGGAAGACACGGTCAGTTTGGTGCTCTGCTTCTTACACCGCCCGCAGGCCCAGAGGGAGCGGCCCCCCCGGTCCCTGGTTGATTTGCTGACACTCAGGCACTGGAGGGCCTTCTGCATCCTGCAGCTACTTGGGGCTGGGCTGGAGCAGGACTGCGACTTCGCAAGAGTACAGAATGGATAACAAGAGCAGGAGACTAAGGATGTTTCATCCCCAGAAAAGCCAACGCACCCCAAAAATGGTGGTGGGGAAGGGACTCAGCTTCTGAAAGCTGTCAACACCCCCTGCTTGGCCCCTTCAGAACTCCTGACTTCACCTACAGAAGTATTTCACTATCTGGCTCTTAAAAACACTCGCACCCAGAAGAGGAGGAAGCAGCGACACTGGAGGCAGGAGAGGGCAGCGCAGGCCTGCCAGCCCTGCGGATTCAGAGTCGGCGGAGACAAGCTGGGGTGTGGGCTGGGCACCCCAGAGCGGATCCTCAGCACAGGAGCAGGAAGGGCCAAGAGCAGGAAGCCGTGCAGGTGGGGTGCAGGCCACCTGGGACGACGCACGCTCACCCCTCGCAGGCAAACTCGTGGCTTGAAGATCCGGGGGTTGGACAAGAGGCTGCTCACTGCCTGGGCCAAAAGGCGGCGGAGGAGGGTGGAAGCGTTCATCTTCACGCCAGCAAGGAGGCAATAAGAGTCAACTTTGAACGGATGTCATTTTTAGTCCTAAAAATCCTTACAAGTATATATGAAAACAATTACGTAAGTTGGAGTTTCCAGAGAAGATTTTCTGAAATTCAGTTTCTAGTTCTTCTGGCTCATGCTTTTTACATTTCTACTTCGTTTTGCTCACCACCAGCACCTCACTTCCTGAGACACTCACGTTCCAAGCCAACAGCGGCCGTCACGCAATGCATTTTCACAACTCTGCATCAGGAGATAGATGCCCACAAAAGCTTCCCTTTAGCATCTCCCAGATTAGAGAAAACCTGACTACATCTGTGGGCCCTCAGGGGCCACGCCCTTCCCTCTGTTACTAGCCTGTCTAGTAGTGTAAAGTGTACCAGGACCAAGCACACTTCAGGGTTTGCGTAAAGATCTTGCTGGAGTAATGAGCATGATAGATAACAAGTCGCATGCCAGTGGAAGAATGGATGTCACAGTTAAGTCACTCATCACTGGAATACAGTCGCCCCTCCCTCCTTATCTACACCAGACCCCAGTGGGTGCCTGAGCCCGCAGACAGCAACACAGAGTATGCTTGTTCCTATCCAGACAATAAAGTTTAAATTATAAATCATTCGTAGTCCGAGCTCAGTAACAGTAGCTATGACGACTACAGCTACACGATACTGAAAGTTAAGTGAATGTCCTTCCCCCTCCCCACCCCCACTGCATGCAGGATTTCCAGACAGTTTCCCAAGGGCCTGAGGCCTTGCTGAGCCAAGCCGCGGGTGCTGGAGACCAGTGTCTACAGGACTACATACACAGCTTCATACAGAGCTTCTGCCCAAGCTCCTGGCCACAGCTGCCCCACCCGCAGGCCCCCGAGATCGAGTCAGACTATCACAGGGTCCCCAGCCCCTTAAGCGCCCAGCCCAACTGCTGTGGCTCTGGGTGGGCTGCACACATCTTTCTGTCAGGGGTGGGGTTTAGGGTTTCTGTCAGATCTGAAGGGCTCCAAAGGCACCCTTCTGGGTGGAATAAGCCCTCCCCCCAGGGTTCAGGCTCATGCCCTGGGCGACCCCCCACACATCACTGCTTTCCTTAGGACAAGAAATCCTACATGTGAACCCAGCCATGTGAAAACATTACTGATATTTATCAACTTTTTCTTCTCAAAGGATTATAAAGTGCCCTGTGAATTCAAAGGAATGTCATTCATTTGTAAAAACATGCAATGATTTGGCGTATTACCTGCCAAAAATCATTCCCTAATGGGAGAGTGAGGCCAAGATTATTATCTGTAAGTGTTCCTTTTTTGGCTGGGGGGAGAGGGTGTGTGCGTCCAGAGACTCAAGGAGAGGAAAGTAGACATGAATGGAATTACCTGAGAAAGCAGGGGTGGGGGAGTCAGGCTCGGAGGAGCTCAAGCTGGCATCTCCTTTCCTGGGAAAGGGCCCACACGCCTTGAGAACAAGAGTGATTGCACAGGCCGCAGGCGAGGAGCGAATCCAGACTACCACAGGGGCGCAGCAAGAACCCCCGCAGAGTCACGCTAACTTTTGACAGGGCTGGGGGTGGGGGTGGGGGGGGCGAGGCCAGGCCCAAGCTGCTCCCGGGTCTCCCAGGCAGCTCTCGAAGCCCAGGCTTTCTCTCCAGCCACTGAGTTCACCCCGCAAGTTCCCAGGAATGATTTCTTGAAGCACACGAGTCACAACAAAATGTGTCGCCACGATTTGCCTTATACTCAAACCTACTTTGTAACCAAGAGCTCATTTCCAGCCCAGTGAGAATCTTTCAGAGAAATTACCATCTCTCTCCCCAGGAAAAAAGAAACTGGTTTGACTTGCCCTGACTCGGAGCCATGTTCTCTGCTTATGAACAGGTCTGGTCTGGGTGAAAACAGCTGAGCTTAGCATGCCATGAGGCAGAGAGGGCTGGCTTGTTCCAAGCAGGTTCCTGGGGGTCTCCCCCACCCCCCTACCCCCTCACTCAGCCAGGACCCTGGGGACAAGGCCGGCTGTACGACACGTCATGAGGCAACAAAGACCTCAAGGGCACTTAACACAAATCACTCTCCTGAGCGTTTCAGGAGGCCGAGCAGAGGCCACAAGGCCCCTGCTCCTACAGAACATCAGCCTTTCCATGAAGAACCTGCCACTGCTGCTTCTGGCAAGGAAAGCGATGAAAGCGATGACTAAAAGGTAGGCGCGGTAAAGCTAGAGTTATATTTTCAAGATCGAACTTGACCTGGCGGTTTCGGTGCCAGGACGGCTTCTGCAGGTGTAAAACCCCACTGGGCTAACTCATGAAGTCCATGTCCCCCGAAAAAGAGGGCCTGGGGGAGACAGATTTTAATCTGAAACGTTTCAGCCTTTCTTTGGAGAAACCGGTACTTTAAAAGTAGCTGGTGAACTGACTTTCTGAAAGGAAGCTGGGGCCTCGTTCCCAGCCTACTCTCAGGGTCTTGGAAGCGTGTTAAAGCAGCTGTAGCTCCTGGGAGTACGCAGACATGAACTTCTGCCATCTCGACAGTGACTTCTTTTAGTAATCTTCTTTGAATGAAATTCCTGGCATCAGGACAACAAAATCGTGTGGTGCTGACCTATTAATGACAGTTCTGATGGTTTATGTTTACTGCTGTTTTTAAAAAAAAGAAGCATGCTGGCCCTCCCTGGTGGTGCAGCAGGTTAAAGCACAGCACTAAGAAGCTTAAGCCATTTCTGCATGAGTTCGATCCCCGCCTGCCCCGGAGGAGATCCACATGGCGCGGCAGACCTCTCCTGACCCGCCCGCTGTTCCCCTCAGCAGTGTACTTTGTCGATCTGCCTGTTCTGTTCCCCACTCTGTCTCTGGTGAATCCTCTCACCCTCCGCATCTCTGGCCTGCACCCCAGTTCTGTATGAAAAAGTAAATCTTTAAAAAAAAAAAAAAGGAGCATGCTGGGGTACTAAAATGAACCCACTAACTCAGTAGCCAAGATCCAAGAGGCTGCTAACTTGCGCCCTTAGGCGGAAGACAAAGAACGCATCTAAAGGAGAGTTTTAAAAGAGCACACTGAGATCATGGGAATCCGTGTCATTTCCAAAATACCCAGGTGTGTTTGGTAAATTCCCAGCAAAAATATGTACTACCAAGCAGAAAAGGACTGCAGAATCAAACAGCACACCCCAACGCCCACTTTCCGCCGTGAAGCTTGTCCCGACCACTGAGTCCAGATTACTGGCCCAACTCTGCCTGACAGTGCTGGGGTGTGGCACACGCCTGCCGCTGGGCGGCGGAAAAGCCTGTCTACAAGCCATGAGTTTACAGGACACCCTCAGGCAACCTGACATATTGAAGACTTGGGGTGAGACTAGGCAAGCTGCGGGACGGTGGAACCCCACTGCAACAGTGAAGGTGACAGTGAGGATTTTTCGGAAATAAGTGTGAGGCTGACCTTGCTCTGTCCGGTGCAAGCTAGCCCTCACCTCCGTCTGCTTGTGTTTTGTTTTTTTTTTTTTTAGCTCCTGGTGGTGGGGAGCCTCAGGGTGCAGATGGTAGCAGGACCAGCTGCAATGAAATGAGCACATGGAAACTGACTGATACGCAGAGGTGGTGGTATTGACAAAGAAGAACGGAATAAACGCAGCACATGTACTAAAGCTTAACTGTATCACAGAACATTTCACAGCCATCTACACTGATCCTAAAATGTATTTAATGTGGCATTTATTTACTCTAAAATATTCCAAAATTAAAATGTCACTTCAAGAACAATGTAATGTCAAATCTTTCTCTTTACTCCTTCCCATTTACCCTCCCAATAGAATGTTTCCAGGTAAAGAAAACAGAGGAGAAGGTGTTTGGTTCAGTGAACTGAGGAAAAGAGCTTCTCAGTTAGCAAGTCTCCAAGAATTTCTGGGATACTCTCCTCACCCAGAACCCCGCGGGAAGGAAGGCCCTGCTTTATACACGGCAGCTCCAAGCTGCCACAGGTCTGCTCCAACTAATTCTGTGACCTGCGACAAGACTCTTAATCCCCGAGGACTCTTCACATGAAAAATGGAGTCATGTGTCATTTAAGCAAGATAATGAATAACCCACTGCCTCTTGGTGTTGTGACAATGATGAAAATAGGTATGAAAAATACCTGAGATGCTGCTAGTGTTGAATAAATGTGCCTTTACAGGCCACAGGATGCCAATTAAATATAACTTGCTACGTTCATCAAAATCTCTACTGTAATGTTCCCAGTGCGGGCCAGTTACACCTCGGAACGTCATCACAGTGCTAAGGGCTGAGAGCCTTGGAGGCCCGCCACTGGAGCCTAGCCCCACCTCTGCGGCATCCCGGGGTACCCTCTCACTGGGGCTCAAGGACGCCGACGACGGGCCAGCTTCGCAAGCGGCCACGGAACCCAGGGCAGCAGAGGGACGGCATTCCTCCCTGCCCACTAGCCTTGCAGCTGCCTCTGAGGAGATCCACTGTCAAAGCGCGCCCGTGCTCTATTTTTATCTTTCCACAAAACAGCAGCTCACACATTCGGGCACGAGAACCACGGACAAGTGGCTTGGCCTGGAGCTGGGCAATTACCCGAGCGGCAGAGAGAGCCGGGGACTGTCGCCCGGGCCCCTCCCCTACCTTGGCTGCAGGTCTTCCCGGCGTATCCGGCGTGACACTTGCACTTGTTGGGCCCGACGCATTCGCCGTGTTTGCACTGCGGCTGGCACACAGCTGTGGAGAGAGGAGGCCAGGCGTTATCTCCAGCGCACGCCAACCGTGCAGTCCCTCCACCAGGTACCAGCTTGATGATTACAGATCACCCTCAGAACTGAGGCCCAGTTCCGGAGCGGAAATGCACACCATCACCGTGCCCTGGAGGGGTGAGCACCGCCTGGACCACGCAGGAGCACAAACAGCACACACATACCAACACTCGGACACGCACACCACACTGCCGTGGGCGTGGTGTGTGTCAGAGACAGGCAGACTGACAAACGCGGGGGGTGGGGGGGAACTTGCCGACCGTGAGGACAATACAGAGTCAGAAAAAGAGAAAACATGTACAAGTAGGCCGAAACACCACAGATACTTTCCAAGAGTTTTTTTTTTTCCCCCCTTCACAATAACTTGTACCGGTGATTTGAGACTCTTCCTCCTCAATACACTTCAAAAATAAATCTGCATCCAAAAATACTGGTTATGTAATAAATTTCCAGTTAAATAACAACAGGCTTATGTTATTGGAAAGGATACCTCCAAGTATGGAATGTTTCAAAATAACTCGGTATTTTTGGACCTTCAACTTTAGAAAGTGACTTGCTCTTTCCTAACCCAAGTTCATGTTGAGCCCCGCCAGTCCTACAGCCGCTTGGCGACTGACCCCATGAGGCATCAGGCTCTATTTTACAGATACCGTCTTCCAGCACTGCCTGCCTTTCCCCGAGACCCCAGAAAGCTGCAAATCATCCACTATTCTTGGTCTTTCATGCATGCTAAGGCACAGCTTGCAACTTACTCTTTACCAACAATTCTGCCACAGGTATTTCTGCCCCTTGGGACATCTGTCATACAGGGAGACGTTCTGGACAGTCACACGGGGCAAGGACATACTGGCATTGGGTGTCAGTCCAGGAAGGCCAGACATTGCCAAGCCTTACACAGTCCCCACACATGAGGACAAACCTTCCAGCCAAAACGCAGTGCAACACCACATCAACACTAAACAACAGAGGGGACATCGTGACGCGAGGTCACTGGCCCCCAGGGCCGGCCAACCAGAGGGAGACACAGACAGGCTCGTGTTTCAAATAGCAGCATTAAGTTATGATCACAAGGGAGGAACATCTAACAGTGGTGAAGGAGTCATCGCACAAGCCAACCCCTGTCAATCTGCACAGAAAGCCTCACAGAAGAGAGAGCTGGGAGCTGGAGAAAAGTGAGCAGAGAGGGGCGGTCAGCAGAGGAGACCATCCACTCGGGGCAGCGAGAAAGCGTGTGAGCCCGACAAGGTATTAGAGGGGTCAGCAGTGGGCAGTAGCAGGTGCTGGGACCAGGTAATGATGCACCCTAGATTTCAGGAGGAGAGCACAAGCTTTCTCTATGGGAAATGGGAAGATTCTATCTTCATGGGGAGACTGGCGTGTCCTGAGACTGGAGTGCTACCAGGTGATGTGTGCAGGGTGACAGGTAGCTGACAAGGGAAGGCACGGCTCGTGGCCCAGACAGGCAGAGCAGGCTTCAGCAACCACATGGCTGGACACCCCAGGGGACAGGTTCCACGTTCATGCTGTGTCCAGCTTTGCTGACACCTGTCGCCCCAAGCTGCCCTGCAAACTAACACCCGTGAAACCGACATGCCTGCTACTTTTCCTGTTCTCTGCACCGGCTCACTCAACTCTCAGGTTTCCCTCGCCTGGCACTCCCAGGGATGAGGTGCCAGTTACCTCTGGAAAGTTCTGTCTCACCTCCTGGCCCCGTGGCTGGACCTGCCTCACCACCAGCCCTGGACAACGCTGCTTGCGGGAATCAACCAGAAGGCTGGCGCGCAGGCGGGGCAACCTTGGGAAGTCCTGGAGTCAGGCTCTATACTCTGCATGAGAGTCCCAGGGAAGCGCCTCTGTTCACATCGGGGAGAAGAAATAAGCCTTCCAGGAGGAGGCCCTTCTGTCCCTCCAAGCATACAATCTATGAAGGCGATCTTTAGGAATCAAGCCAGCTTGGAAAGAGGAGACATCTATAGCCAGAACTCCACATGCAGGTAACAGCTCCTAGAACAGCTAGAATGTGCAAGATCTCCACAAATATGCAAAAGTCATTTACAAAGTTCCACCTGGAAACAGGAACAAGTTCATGTTCATGAAACATTCATGAACAATTATCCATGAGCCCCAGGCTGCTTTGCCTTTTGAGCTCTGCTCAGCTGAAGGATCAGGTCAATGGCCTCATGGCTGCTTTGCTGCGCTCTCAAGTACCCGGACCAGGACTGCCAAAGGCACACATCCCAAGAGGCCGTGCGGGGCCACTGAGGTCTCGGACACCCTGCGTTTGCACTCGTAGCCGACACACTGTCCCTGGAGTGCCCCGGACCTCTGTATCCGCCAACAGCAATCCCCATGGGACAGGACACTGGAGGCTGGCGCAGCCACGCCTTTTCTCATGCACAAAGGCAGGCCTTTGGGAACGGCTTCCTACGGCCTTGCTGCTGGGGGCCTGCAGTGTGGGGGCCTGAACAGGCCCTGCTCACAGGTCACAGGTGATGGACCCATCATCCTAGGCTGGGCATGGGGGGTGAGGGGGATGGGAGGGGCTGGCGTCTGAGCAGATATGAGCCGCCGGAAGTGGAAGTAGACTGTTGACCTGTTGGCTGCCAGCATGATGGGAGGACCAAGAGGCAAGGGGCAGGTGGCCACTACTGGCAGGTCCTGCAAGGCCTTGAGAGCAATAGGAGGCTGGGGTGCAGCACGAGTGGCTCAGGTGGCAGAAATGCTGGGGCTCACCAATGTCTACCTCCCCCTTCTTTAGAATGGAGCGGACTTCTTTTGGAGTTAAGAGAATGAGTTAGTCATCCAGAACCACACTGCCTACCCTCCTTGGCAGCTCTCGGTAGCCAACTAACAAAATTCTGGTTAGTTTATGTCCTCCTTCTTGCCTGGAATGTAGAATGTGATGGCTGAGCCACTGTGGCTGCTCTGTGACCACGAGGTGAGAATGGCAGAGGACGGAGCTAGAAATCACTGGGTAACTGACGCAAGCCCTCCCCCCAACTTAGGGCACTGTTGACGCTGTGTTACTTGTGGTCAAATACAGCTCTCGACTGGCTGTCACCGAGCATTAGACTCTACCGAGGAGAGGACTGACGGTGGCTAGTGGCTCTGCAGAACGACAGAGCACGCTAGCTCAAACGCAGGTGTTGGTGCTGCCTGGCAAAAGGCTTCCTTAATGGAAAGGCTGTCTTCAGCTTCCCAAAAACCATGGGCGACTTCTGCTCTAGCACCCCTGAACGCAGAGCAGAGACCCGAGAACTCCCGGGTGTGGGTTTTAAGAGCAAAGGTGACAGGCCACAGGCGCAGGGAGGAGCGGCGAAGCCACAAAGGGCCACGGCAGTGAGGTTCCTGCAAGCCCTGCTTACTTCCCTCAGGCAGCCCGTGGTGAGGAGTATCTCTGTGAAGCCACTGGCGTTGCAGCAGAGCAAGTGGCTGTATTACTGGGACCCAGGAGGAATGGAGCCGAATTTTGCAGGCTGCACTGGCAAGGGCCCCACAGCACCCCGGTGTCACAGGCACAGCAAAATCTAGAGCAAAAGATTCTCCACAGAGTGTCGGGTCTGTGGAGAACAGCTCTCCAGCTTCCTGGTATCCTGTGTCCTAGTGTGGATGAGTCTGTGTTCAAATCTAATTTCCTGCCCTAGTAGAAACTGAAATAAAAGTGCCCCTGTTATCACTCTAAAAGCCCATCGCAATCATTCATATGAATGCCTGTTTACATGACTAAATTTATCCTTACAACAGCCATATAAGGCAGGAGGGAGACCAACATGAGCCTCATTTTACCAGCAGAAAGTGAAAGCACATGAGGTTAAGTGACTCGCCCAATTTCAGTAAAAAGTTGTTATCCCAGTTCCAACATCAAACCACCGGCTCTTCCTCAGTTCAGAAAGAGACCAGGAAGCTCAGCACGTTGAGAGGGTTTAGGAGGCGGAGTGGGTAGTGTACACAAATGTGAGCAGGAAAGGATCAGAGGGGCGAGGGTGGCAAACAGGAGAAGCAGAAAGATATTTCAGTGGTCTTGCCAAGAAGGAGAAGCTGCAGCTCAGAAGAGAAGCTATAATTTCAGAAAATTAAAGTCACCCTGCCAGAGTATTTCTGCATTAAGTAACTTCTATTCTGTTGCTTGCTTTATACAGATCCTGGACTCAGGACCGTAGGATGGCTAGCTCTAGCTCTTCGGTGTTCCTCACCTGGTTGATTGGCCTCATGTCTTATCCAACATTATTTTTACTAATGGACTTCAATGAATCATGAACTTTATATAAATACTGAACTACTCAATTGAAAGCTTAGAGTATGAATGAAAAGAAAGCTTTTCTAGTTTATATAATACTGTCTCCAAGAGCTGTCTGATAAAAATTTATTTTTGACTTCAGGAACACCCAATTGAAACAAATTTTACAAGTATCTATTTCCTCCCTGTTTAACTTCTCTTTCCTGAAACAGTCCAGAGAAAACGAGTGCTTGCATGCACACTTTTGTATCTTAAGCCAAATTTCATTAATCACAATGAAACACGGTCCCTGCCACTTGAAAAATGTCTTCTAAATAGACTTGCCATTTTCTGTTTCCACGGGACTTGAACTTTCCTTTCTGTGTTCTGTGATACAAGAGCGATCTTTAGGTGAATGCCAAGGGACATGGCCTTGTGCGAGACAGGCTGGCCAGGTTGAGAACATGGATGGGACAGGAGGGAACAGGTACGTTAGATTCTGACCGGTCAAAAGATGACAAAAACCAGATGGGTGTCACTTCTACGTGGAATATTGAGAAACAAAGGGCGAGACAGCACCAAACCAGGCACAAACCTCTGGAACTGGGGCCAGCAGGGGAGCAGCTGGAGAGCGTGGAAGGGCTCACGGGACAGTGCTAGAGGACTGTGGGTGCCTTGTTGGTGGGTGTGGGGGACCTATGTCTCAAGGGAGGGCCCATTTACCCTTGAAACATATGACACTATAAAGCACT